TAAGGATACCTTACAAATGAAACAATATTGCCGATTTTACGCTAAACACACTTGTTTTCTTTTTACTAGTGTCATTTAGACTGTAATTTAAGAATTAAGAGATGCTTATTTTGTTGCTGGTCTCTCTTTTCTCTAAGTCCTACAAAAGAAATTTAGCAGAAGAATTGCAATACAAAGGTTGATAAGGGCTGTGCATGTGCACATGAGTAGACAACACCCACACAGAAATCAGGAAGACAGCTGGAATAGACCTCTCCTACAAGTCATGGTGGGTCACTCCTTGGCTAGCTGGTGAGTCTGTTTACTTTCTCCTGGTGCTGAATGCCAACTACAGTTAACCTTAGGGCAGCCTCCTTAAAGAAAGTTCTTCAATTCTGGCATAACAAAAGGCATGAATAAATGAATGATAAGCGTTTTTTTTGTCACCTCTGCATTCCTAAGGACTTTTTTTCTGGGAGCCTAACATATCTCAAACCCAGCAACAACAGTCTGTCCTCCTCCTAAAGCCAGCAGAAAATGTCCTTGAATGTCCTGTGCTCCTTTGATGGATCCAAAGGTTTAGGCATGGTCAGATTCCCTCGCCTCATTTCCATGGAGTTAACTAAAGGACAATGTGTCACTCTGTCTTGTCTCTAGGAGACAGCAGGAAATGGCAGCTCCACTGAGATCCTTCTGAAGGGAAAAGAAACTTTTTTGCTAGCACTAGCCAAGACACTGACATTTCTTATTCCACAGGTAGTCAATAAAGTATTTATGGCTGCAGAGACTGAACAGGCCCAAAACAAAAAGCTTTTTCAGGCTTCTACTTCCTAGTTTGCCCTTTGAAGAACTTTGCACCAATAGGTAAATGTAACTCAGGAAAACAAACTCCAAAATAAGTCATCCCAGAGTCTGGGCCACAGGAACACAGGTTTTAAGGAACACAGAGTAGACTTCTCTTTTCACACGATTCCACTGTGGGGACTGAAAAGCAACTATGTTTTACAACTTGTGACGTCATGATAAAAGAAAACTCAGAGGGAAGAGAAGGAGGAAGACATGAAGGAAGGAAGGAAGGAAGGAAGGAAGGAAGGAAGGAAGGAAGGAAGGAAGGAAGAAAGGAAGGAAAGGAGAATTAAATTTCTTTAATGCGCAGTTGAAAATGACTGAGACTACACCACATTGCCAGGTATGCTCACAAAGCTCTCTGTGGAAATTCATCCCTTTATGGGTTTTTAACAAAGATTATATCAACAGCTGTTCCTATGAATGACTTGTTGGCAGCTGAAAACATGTCAGAGGCCAGAGAAGAAATGTCCATTTTATCAAAGTACTTACTGTTTTCTTTAGAAACTTCATAACCAGCAAATGAAAATTAAGTTAGTTAAGCAATGAAAATTAAAATAGGATCAATGTCCAGTTCACAAAATGCATCAAATAAACTAATTATATGATTCAAACTTGCCACAATTAAAAAAACAACAACATGCTTATATAGAATTTTTTATTTGTGCTGGGGGATGGAGAAACAAATGCATCTCCAGAGGACTTTTGTCTCAGTTTATCAGATGATCAGGCAGCATTCTGACCAAACCATCTTCTTCATTAAAAAAAAAAGAAAAAGAAAAAAATCCCTCAAAACCAATGGGGAAATCTCTATAAAAGTTAGGAAATTGAATGTTTATTTTTACTATTGTTTTCATACTAAATAAGAACATGAAAGAATCTTTCACTCAGCAGCTGCATCTAATTTAATATAAAGTTCCCCAAAGAGGAGTGAACAGGATGTGGTGAGGAGCCATTAAACATGGATGATAATAGTTTGTGAGGCATCTGGTACTATTCCACCACCTAGAAATCTAAGAATCAAATTAGCAGATTCAATTCTGCCAAAGTTATCAAATTATTTGTCAAAAGGATTTTGCAAAGCAGGCTCCTCCTTTCCAACATCTGCTCTAGCCGTCCATTGAGCACCCAAGATGACCATCTATTTGATTTGTTGAGATGGTACATTTTACCAGTTATGGTCTGGCTGAATACTGCACCTGTTATCATAAAAGCCTCCAGCTATTGAATCAGTCAACAGAGAACTTTAATAAACTAGTGCATCATTAGGTCTATATAGAGGTGATTATATCTGATTTGAATTGTACAATATTGAATTGTAAAATATTTATATATTTTACAAATATGTTAGAAGTGTTTGCACCCATATGTCATGATTTTAAGTGAATACCCAAACTGCATGTGCAAATAAAACAAATGCAAGACATTTGCTTTCTTTCTTTCTTTTACTTTTTCTTTTTCTTTTTCTTTCTTTTTTTTTTTTTGCCATAAAAGGACAAGAAGGGTTACTCTGATGTAATATCAGAGCCTTTAAATCTATTTGAGCAACATTATTTTATCCTCTAAAATGTGGTAATCCTACCAAGTCTGGCTGTTCATATTTGCTATACTCTTGGAATCAAATGACTGGCACTGAGCAAACTCCTACTGGGGTTGGTGGGGGGCTGGAATAAAAAGTTGCCAGAAACATGACAGCCAATGTAGCAAAAGAGCTAAAGAATGAATGAGAGCTATTTGTCTGGGATATGTGCACTTTGGCTTTATAGTATATATTCTCTTCCCTCTAATCAAAAGGAAAGCTTGAGTTCAAGCATGCACCAACCACACTGGACTCTAAGACAAGTGACTGGAAGCTGACCAGTAAGGATGTGGCTTGTGTCGCTCAAATTTATGACGGTGCATCTGCTGTGAGTGGTGTCTTGAATGGAGGCCAGGAGCTCTCCCGTCAGCTGCATCCATATGCTATGCATGTGTTCACTGCTACGCACATTTTTTAAATTTAGCTCCTGTGGGTACATGTTCTACACTTTTTTTCCCCTGTACGTGATTTTTTAAAAATATGCTTTAGAAAATATACACAATCTTTTCAGAGTCTTTGCTGACTCACTGTAGGTCCTTTGGAATGTTTTCCTTTCAAAAGCCCTAAGTAGTCAAAAGTACCCTTTGTCTTCTAATATTAAATCCTACTGCTTAATATAAAACAGTTGTTTGTAATGCACTATTAGAAAATATCTTTTTTCCCCCTCCTATCCAGAAGCAAGTGACAGCTCTTTTTGCTGGACCAAAAATGAAGAAAAAAGATAGGAAAACAATCTCCCAGGTCTGTGTGGGGCCAGCTTATGTTCGTTTTCCAGACATGTTCGATTTTGAAGTTTAGCCAAAAGACAATCCAGGTTTCAATACTGCAACTATCAGACTGACTGCCTAGGAATTGTTACCTGTTAATCCATAATTCCAGAGTCAGAGATGCAAACATCTCTCATTTTAAAATTTAAGCAACTATATCATCCAGCAGGTTAACTTCCATTGCTCCTTTTCTCTACTGACGGAGTGATGAATCAAAGTCATCACTGGGGTCAGGCATTTTGAAAACAAGACTGAGAGATCCAATTTACATCCATGGCAGGGGTCGGGGACAGTGACAGCTTTCCTGGAGGCTTGAGTTTCATCTGACTGACATTTAGCGATTACATTTTATCATCTTCTTTGTACTTTAGATTATTATTATTACTATGATGATTATTAGGATGTTTATAAATATTTTCTTATTTAGCATTTAAGTGCACATTTGCAAAATGTTCAATTTGGTTTTCCTTAACTTTGAAATCAAAATTCTATTTTTCTTTTCCTATAGGACAGGATAGATGCACCTATGCTTTCATCTCACTGTTCATAAATCCTTAAGGGCCAGGACTATGCTTTCTTTTGATTTGATTCTTTTTTTTTTTTTTACTTCCATCTCTTTTTATCTTTCTCCTTAGCATCTTAATCCTATGCATACAGAAAGCTGATTTTTTTTTTTCAGTATCAGAGATCAAGCCCAGGGCCTCGAAAAAGCTACGCATGTGCTCTACCACTGAGCTACATCCCCAGCCCCCAGAAGCATTCTTAATTGGCTTTGTTTCCCCCTACAATAATTATCATGATTAAGATTTGGAAAACAATATGAATAGCTTACAAAGTAGATTTCTTATAATTTTTTGAATTCTTCAAAAATGTATTTAATCATATAATGTACAATACAAAATTTACATTAATACACGTTTGGATTCTTATCTACTTTGAGTCACCCTTTAGAAGACAAGCTGCCACAAACTTTTCAAGGGAGATAGTGTTATTGGGAAAGTTCACACTTTCAGAGTGGTTGATGGCAAAATAATTGGATGACAGTAACATACTTGATTAATTCAGTCAATTCAGCCTGTAAAATAATCTGGTTTGGAATAGCCAATGGAACAAAACATCTAAATATTTCACATTCAGCCAATTATATTACCATCATGTGGTTAGCCATAAATTAAAGAAGAAAGCAATCTCCAAGAAATGGCTTGATAAGGTATATTTTCAGATGTCTTCCTTTAGGAAGAATAACCCTCTGTGTAATTTAGCTGATATCTTCAGGGTTACTGCAATCGATCAAATGATAAAGGGGAAAACTATTAAAGGATTTTACCCAAGGCTGGGAATCACTGAGAACTAACACCCTGAGACAGGAGTTAAATACAACGCTCACTTCATGAATCTTTCTTGAGGCTACTATCTAAATTCAGCCATTTTCAAAGCAGCATCCAGAGTAGCATGAAAGGATGCATGCCTGACTATTAGTGAGTTCCTGTAGAGTCTAGGGACTCCTCTCATACTCTTCCTACCACACATACATCCACAATGCTCACTTTGACAGACCTGGCCACCTCCTTTTGTCCTGAACGCAGCAGAAGTGCTGTGTATTACTTTGTGATGGAGAGTTAGAGACTGAATCACAGTTCATTTGAAAATCTTCTTCAGCCAAAGGAAAGTCACTTAATTTCTGTGAACATCTGCAAGCATTTGGTCTTAATTCTAAATCTGGTTAAAAACTGTCCTTCCTTCTCCTACTAAAGGAGGAACATTGTCACTTTGTCCTGTCTTCTGCTGCTTTTTTTTTCCTTAATTCCTCTCATCCACCCTCTTTCTAGGCCCACTGCCACTGGCTGACTTCAGACCCTCCTCACCCTGGACTGCCGCAGTATCCTCCTCCAGCCTTCTTCTTACTTTATCCTCCATGCTGCTGCCAAAAGGATATGTTTAGCTTTCAATTTTGAAGTAAGTTTAGACTTAAAGAGAAATTACAAAACCAGTAGAGAGGTTCCATGTACCATTCATTAGCTTGCCTTAATGTTACTCTCTTACATGATCATAGTACTTTTTGTTAATATTAATTAATTGCTATAGAATTTTTATTAATATTAAGTTGACAAATCATAATTATATACATTTATGGGTATAAGGCAATATTTGATACAGGTATACAAAGTGGAGTGATTAAGTCAAGCTACTCTGTCACCTCACTTACATTTTGTGGCACAACATTTTTTAATTTACTTTAGTCATTTAAAAGTACACAACATTTTGTTATTGATTATAGTACTCTGTTATACAACAGATCTCAAAACTTATTCCTCCTGACTAGCTGAAACCTTGTAACATTTGATCAACAATTCCCCATTTTCTCCTTCCATCTACCTCCACAGCCTCAGGTAAGCATCATGCTACATTATTTCTGTGAATCCAATTATGTTAGATCATACATATAAGTGAGACTAAGCAGTGTTTGTCTTTTTGTACCTGGCTTATTTCATTTAGGAAAATATCCTCCAGGTTCACCCAGGTTGTCACAAGTGACAGGAATGTCTTCATTTTTGAAAGATTGTAGTATATACACCACCTTTTCTTTAAATGTTCAGCTACTGGTGGACACAAGTTGATTCCACATTTTAGTGATGGTGAATAATGCTGCGTTGACCATAGAAGTGCAACTCTCCCCAAAACATGCTGCCTTCCCATATATACTCAGAAGTGGGATTGTTTGATTATTTCTTAGTTCTCTTTTTAGTGTTTTTGAATAAATTTCATACTATTTTCCATAATGGCTATTCTAATTTACATTTCCACCAATAGTATGCAAGCATTTTCTTTTCTCTGTCTCTTCAACAACACTTACCTTTCACTTTTTAAAATTAGGTTATTTATTTTAATTAGAAATATATGACAGCAAAATGCATTTTGATTCACTGTACACAATGGCAGCACAACTTTCCATTTCTCTGGCTGTGCACAATATAGATCACACCATACATGCAATCGTACATGTACCTAGGGTAATGATGTCCATCTCATTCTACCATCTTTCCTGAACCCATGCACTACTCCCCACCCTCCCTCCCCTTTGCCCAATCACAGTTCCTCCACTTTTCCTATGCCTCCTCTCCATTATGGATCAGCATACACTTATCAGAGAGAACATTCGATCTTTGTTTTTTTGGATTGGCTTCCTTCGCTTAGCATGATATTCTCCAACTCCATTCCTTTGCCTGCAAATGCCATGATTTTATTCTCTTTTAATGCTGAGTAATATTCCATTGTGTATATATATATATACACACCACAGTTTCTTTATCAAGTCATCTATTGAGGGGCATCTTGTTGCTTCTACAGTTTAGCTATTGTGAATTGAGCTGCTATAAACATTGACGTGGCTGCATTACTATAGTATGCTGTTTTTAATTCCTTTGGGTATAGACCCAGGAGTGGGATAGCTGGGTCAAATGGTGGTTCCATTCCACTGCCATTCTGACTGGCTTGAGATGAAATCTTAGAGTAGTTTTGATTTGCATTTCTCTAATTATTAGAAATTTTGATGATTTTTTCATATATTTTTCATATATTTTTATTTGCATTTATCTAATTACTAGAAATGTTGAGTATTTTTCATATATTTCATATATATATATATACACACACACACACACACACATAAATATATATTTTAAATTAGAGAGTGTAATGACTCCAGTTTTGTTCTTTTTCCTCAAGATTTTTTGGCTACTCAGGGTCTTTATGGATCTACATGAATTTAAGTATCATTATTTTATATTTTTGTGGAAAAGTGAAAATTTGTGTGTGTGTGAAGTAAAGTGAAATTTGGATGGGAGTTACATTTACTCTGTAGATTGTTTTGCATAATATAGACGTTTTAGCAATATTCAGTTTTCCAATCCATCAAAACAGTGTATTGCCCTTTATTTGTTTTTTCTTCAGTTTCTTTCACCAGTGGAGGAAAAACTGCTTTACTCTCTACCCTTGTAATATTTGAATATTCTGAATATGACTATGTATCACTTAAATCATTTGGGAGCCTTTTTTTCTTTCATATGGTTTACATTATTAATAAGCAGCCTTTCCTTTTAACTTGAAGAACTCCCTTTAGCAATTCCTGCAAGGTAGGCCTGGTAGCATTGAACTCCCGTAGCTTTAGTTTGGGAAAGTCTTTATTTTTTTCTCTTGTTCCACAGTATGTTTCTTTTTTTCCTTCAGAACTTATAATACAGTCATGAGTCACAAAAACAGGGATACATTCTGAGAAATGTATCTTTAGGTGACATTGTCATTGTGCAAACATCATAGATTGTCCTTACACAAACAGATGCTATAATGTCATTAGGAAAAATAATCTTATGAGACCCTCCTCATTCATGTAGTCTATCGTTGACCAAAATGCAGCACATGACTATACATTCTCTCCTGGCCTGTGGGGTTTCTATTGAGAATCGTGATGATAACTCCTTTAGGACTTCCTTGAATATGGTTCTTATCTAGCTGATTTCAGAATTCTTTTGTGGCCTTTGATTTTTAATAGTTTGTTTATGTTGTGTTTGGAAAACTTTTCTTTAGGTTGTGTGTTATTGGATACCGGATACCTTTGAACTCCTTGACCCTTCCTGAATGTTACAATCTTTCCCCTGACTTGGAAAAACTTCAGCCATTACTTATGTAAATATGCTTTCTGGGTCTTTTCCTCTCTCTTCTCCTTTTTGAAGTCCTATTATGCAGAGATTAGTTCTCTTGATGCTGTCTCAGAGTTCCCATGGGGCCTTTCTTATTCATTAATTTTTATCTTGACTTCAGTCTCACTGATTCTTAAGTGTGCTACATCGAGTTTGCTGTTGAAGCTTTCTATTGAATACACAGTTGAGTTATTATATTCTTTATTCCTAGGATTTATATTTTTTAAAATACTTTTTCTGTTTATTTGCCAAACTTCTCATTTTGCCTGTGACTTGTTTTCCAACTTTTATTTGACTTTCTATGCTTACTGTCTTGTGGTTCCCTGAACTTCTTCAAGAGGATTAGTCTGAATTCTTTGTCAATTATTTCATATGTCTTCATTTCTTCAAGATCCATTATTGGAGCTTTACTGTTTTAATAGTTTACCACCATGAAATCGTTTTTAATAGTTTTTATAACTTGAATAGTTTATTTTGATGGTATCATAGTTCTTCAGTTCTGCATAATACTTTTGTTCTCATGTTTAGTGTCTACACATGAGGAAATGCCCACCTTTTCTGGCCATTGTAGGTGTTCTTTGCTGGAATGTTACTATTTTGCTATAGCTATAGCCAGGAATTCTAGGTTGGACAGGTAGTGGCAACACCAGACAGGCAGACCTTGGGATTGGGCTCTCTACTCGGGCTGGGCTGCTGTCTGTGCTTTGAAACAGCTTAGTATTTCTTGTTATATGCTCCATAGGACAATGATACCACCAACTGGACTCTGGTCAGGTGGCACTACTGGCTGAGCTCTGTGACTGCCCCCAATCAGCAGGGTTGCAGGCTGTCTTCTCTGAACCTATGAAACTGCTATTTGGAATTTATAGTTGGGCAAGTCTACATTATGGGCTCTAAGGCTATGCAAGGTCTCTGGGGTCACTCCTCAGTCACTTAGAATGGACAGGGCTCAGAACCTTGCAGATATTTGTGGATATACACTTACTTTTTGGCCTAGTAAAACATTAAGTAGAACACTGAGGCTTCTCTGAAGAACCCTAAAACACTGTCTGAGCTCATATAAACTATAATAAACTACACCTATTTTCTGGAATGTGTTCTTATTCTGGGCCTTTGCACATGTTATTTTCTTTCTCTTGGATGCCTTGCATGCTACTACCCTCACATTCCAAACATTCTTGTTTTCACTCAACAATGCTTATCTGGCCTTCAAGACTCAGCTCTGTCCTGTTGTCTGATATTCTCAGCACCCTGTCATCTGTTTATCATAATATTTGTCACACTTGCTTATTGTTTCTGCTTACCATATTATCTCCATCACTAGATACTACGTTCTAGTATCTAGGACAATGGCTAACATATAATGACTGTCCATCATGTCTAGAGCTGGGCCAGCAAACTATGGCTCATGGACCAAATCCCATCCTCTGTTCTTTTGATAAATAAAGATCATGGGCCACAGCCATGATCATTTATTTCTGTATTTTCTATGACTGTTGTTGCACTACAGTGAGAAAGTTGAGTAGTTGAAAAAGGGACATTGTGTCCTGAAAAGCATAAAAAACATTTATTATCTGGTTCTTTTCAGATGAAAGTCTGTGAACCACTGGTTTAGTGAGTAAACCAAGAAAACACCATATTTTACATTTGATTATCCATGGTAATGTGTATTAGAAATGAATGAATTGTCTAAAAAGAGACCCATTTAATGCATTAATCATGATCATCATAAATTAAAAAGTGGGAATCAGCAAAGACGTTTTAAAATAACAACTCCCTGACAGCATGCCAGGAAACATACACACTGCTGGTGTGAATGTAAATTATTACATTATTCCTGGAGGAAATTTAACAATATGTTTCAAAAGCATTAAAGTCATGCATAAACTTTATTCAAGAAATTTCACTTCTAGAAATTTGCCTAAAGAAGTAATCAGAGACATGCACCAAAATTCATGTAGCACCTTGCTCACCAAAGCATTGTTTACACTATGAAGAACTAAATATCACCTGAATAGCTAGGAAAAGAAAAATACTTGAATAAATTATATTATATCCAGAGGTTGGGAAATTAATGCGGCCACTACAAATCATGCATAGAACATTTATTAGTGTAGTGAAGTGCTCACAATATACTGTCAACTGGGTAAAACAGGTTTCAAAACTCTAAGTGTAACATAATGTCATTTTAAATTTTAACATATATGCAATATATACATAGAAACAAGTAAGAAGATTAAAAGGAAACACGACAGCAGG